TGCAATGGACCTCCCTCCTCCACCTCCGCCTCCTCCTGAAGAGGACTCTATCGATGCTCCACCAAACTTCCTCCCACCACCACCACCCGCCGTTGGTTCGATGCTTCCACCTCCTCCTCTTTCTCCGTACTCAGGCAGATCCTTACCACCACCTCCACCGCCTTCTTGTTTCAAAGGCTTCAACCAATCTCTGCCTCCTCCACCTCCTGATCCAGGGTTTTTACCACCCCCTCCTCCTCCGCAGCCATTAATGACAGCAGGTGGGGTACCACCACCACCTCCTCCTCCACCACCACCTCCTCCACCTGCTGCTGCGTCTCCTACAGCAGCCCCTAGACCATCCCTGCGCCCTGTTGGATCAGTGAAGAAAATGCCTCCCGCTCCACCTAAGAGGACTACACCAACGCTGGGAGGAGGAGGTGGCGGTGGAGGAGGAGACGGTGGTGACCTCATGTCAGAACTGATGCTCGCCATGCAGAAGAAACGTGGAAATAATTAACCCATAAACTCCCGGCCTTGAAACACTTCTCGATATTCCACAGTTTTTGTTAAATCTTTAGGAAAACAATTGATAATATGCTATTGTTTTAATAAAATTGTAAATATTGTCATGTTTAACAGGGAGAATAGGATTTTTTTTATTGTTATTATTTCAAGCAACTTCCAGTAAATATCTATTTTTATTCCCCGGTGGGAAAAAAAAAAAAAAAAAAAAAAAAAAACGACAAAAATGAAAGTAATTTCTCACAGGACTGAATCAGCGGGTGTTTCTCTCATTGATCTGCTGCCATTGGTCGTTTAAAGGCACATGACATATGACGAACATCTGTGTTAAATCAGTCCCAGCCTCCAACAGTTGTCCTGCTGTGAGCAAACGGCACCAGTATAAAAAAAGGAGAGTGTTTTTGCCTTTATTTCTGTCAAATATAAAAATCACGTGTGTGTTTTTTTCAGACTGTTTGTGTTTCATACCGATTTAAACACCAAAGATAACTGAAGCTATAAGAAATGTCTTTGTTTTTTATTTTATTTTAATTATTTTCAGGCTCCAGGATTCATGATGAGCAGCTAACCTTTAACCTCTGTGACCACCGTGGGGGTCTTGATGCGTAACCTGCATCCTCTGCTGTCGTTTGTGTAACAAAGGGGGAAGCCAAGATGCGGTGCAGCATTGCCACCTAGTGGCAGACATGTATTAAAGCAGGTTAGAGGGTGGAAAAGAAATTGGGTTTGCTTTTGTAGAAAAACATCTTGGAATTTCTTCTTTTTGAAACAAGATTTCTCACCTGAGAAAAGTCATTCTTCTCTGCTTTCCTTATGGCTAATTCTGCCATCCAGTTCCTCAGCACATACCTGGGATTTACACCTGTAAGAAATATTAAACGAGGTCAGTTTAAAATCGTATTTTAACACCAACACTAGCATAAACTCTAATAATAACACCTTGAACTTTGAAAACCTACTTTTCATCCTGTTCTGACGATCGATGTCACTGTCATTTTCTTGTCTGCACCAGAGAATAAAAAATAACAAATCAACACAATTTTTACATTTTTTGTTAAAGGATCGACTTTTTTTTAACCTGCTGATACGGAGGAGATACATCCTGAGCCAATCAGAGAAGTGAACATGCTGTGACAGGTCATAGAGCGCCCACATCTGACAGAACAAAAATTAAAACAGGTAAAAAAATGCATTTTGATCAATACTCGGTGGAAGCAGAAACATAGGAATTTGACACGTTGTCTCCACCTGTGAGACGTTCCTGCTGTGAAGCTGCAGCTGTGAAGCTTCACTGAGTTGTCTGAAGGTCATGGTGAAGTCCGACTTTGTTTCCTCCATCATCTGGGAAGACAAATAACTAACATTAAAAGGGTGGAGTATGGTTATAATTTATTTAAAAAAATCAAGCAAAATTTCTGCAAATTTGCCTTGAGGAGGAGAGCGATGAGTAAACCATCCTCTTCATCTTCATCACGAAGGCCCAGTTTACCTCTGAATAACTGCTGAATTCTTTGTTACAGATGGAGTAGGACAAGCAGGTAACATGTAGGTATTTTGGTCTGTATTTCAGAGAAACTTCAGAGAATAAATATGGAACTAGTAATTACTGTAGCTCACCTCATCTGGTAAATACCAGTGAATCCCTTTAAAATCATGTTGGCCCTACAAAAAGAAAAAACAATCTCAACTTTGCTGTTAAAACCCATCAGAGATGAAGCGGTAGATAAATGAATGATGAGGTCTCTTACGCCCTCTGTTGTTTCTGTGTAAGTACAGGGTTGAGAGCCTCCTGCAGCTTCTGCAGGTTGAACAGTCCCACATCGGCCTGGGCTCCGATTCTGTATCTGCCCTCATCATCAGATGAGTTAGGAACGAAATCTGTAACATAAAAATATATTAGGCAGCACAGAAATGTGTTTTTAAAATAAATGAAGCCTCAATGTTTTTTACTATTATACACACTGGGGTCATAGGCCTCCATGAAACCAAACGGTCCATAGTCGATGGTTATGGAGAGGAGGCTGAAGTTGTCTGTGTTACAGACGCCTGCTGGAGAAAACACAGATGAGACACAAGAACATGTTGTTTTTTTTAAGAAACAGTGTAAACAGAAATGTTCAGGTTCTCACCGTGTGCAAACCCTATAGACATCCACTGTCCAATAAGATGAGCAGTTTCATTGACCACTGTAGAATAAAATACCTAGAAATACACACATTAATGCATACATATATACTGCATACAGTTTATTACAAGCAAGTGAAAAAAAAAATTTGACTCACTAAATATTTATCAGGGTCGTCTGAAACGATGGAGGGAAAATGTTCCTCAATCACAAAGTCCAACAACTTCCTACATCAACATACAAATATGACCATTAGAAAAAACAAATTTTATCATTCTACGGTAACCCCTGACTGTTGAATAGTACAATGATCACATGATTATGTTTACCTCAACAGATCTGTCTCTCCACTTTTGGCCAGAATTTCCAATGATCCAAATCGGAACCAGGACTTTGCTACTCTGAGCACAACAGCCCCTCAGGTAAACAAAAACAAAAACAAAAACAAAAACAAAAACAAAAACAAAAAATTAAATAAAGGCGGAAAGAATGGCAATAAGGTGGAAAGAATGGCAATGAAACTGAAGTTTTGATGATATTCACTGTACCTCTCTCTGTGTCAACATTGCCGTTGTAAAATTGGTCTCTCAACACCGGCTCCTCACTCACAATTAGACTGTAATATACGGCACATGGTTTAATACCACAGTACTAACACCATATTAATCATTCCCATCCATCAGTCCGGCTCTAACCTGGCAGCTCTGCTGGTGGGAACACCCAGGAAATGCATGGCCTCACTGCACAGGAACTCCCGCACCGAGGAGCGAATCACAGCTCGGCCGTCTCCCGACCTGTAGAAGTGTTCAGGTATTTACAGAAACCCGTTGACTATGTGTGCGATCATGCAGGAAACAGAGGAGTGCAGAGGAATATGGAGAGAATTACCTGGAATATGGGGTTTTCCCAGATCCTTTAAGCTGCAGTTCCCATGTCTCTCCCTTTCTGTTAGGTCGTCCATATACAGAAATTAAATTGGAAATAACATTTATTGGTTATTTACCCTTTATTAAATTTTCTTTTTGAAATATTGGATTTATTTCTCACCTGTTTAAATACTGACCAAGCAGATGAGCTCGGCCGTCCCCAAGCTGACCCGCCCAATAGCCGAACTTTTAGAAAATGTAAAAACAAAGGAGATCATGTAAGATGTCAATCAAAACATAATGTGTATTTGTATCATGTTATATGAAGATCCAATGTCAGTACCTGGTGGCCCCCATATCTGTGAGTGAGTGGTACGGACCCTGACATCAGTTTGCCTCCACTGGCAAACTGCAGGAAATCCTCTGACTGTGTTAGGACAACATCTAAATCTAAGGTTTCCTCCACCACTTCCTGTTTTGACAGTAACACATACAATTATTTCTCTGTACGTGATAGTGACGGTGTTGTGATCCTGGTGCACCACCTTAGAAACTGCTGCCAGTCTCAGTGGTCCTTTCAGTGGAGTTGGAATGGATTTAGAAAATATGCAGTCCTTCACGGTGCGAACAAAGTTCCCATCGACATCATCAACAGGAAATGCTTCTGCAAAACAAGAAACAATTGAAGTCTGTTCATAGTTTATATTCTATGTTATCACATCAAAAAAAGTACATTTACGTTACCAAGTAGCTTTTCACAGGACACTCTCCACTGGTCCAGGTCCTGGAGAAGGTTTGTGGCGTTTGCGTTCCACCTTGACGCAGTGTGTGAATATGACTCTGCCTCTGAAGCTGTGTTGTCGTCATTGTGACAGTCAGGGTCCAGACTTGGGCAGAACTCCAGGAGACAGACCGGTGTGATGCTCGATGTTGCTGCCAGAGCAAACACGAACACTCGAAGAATGTTCCACATAAAGCAGCTCTGTTGAATGTGTTCAAGTCTGCGCGCACCGATGCAACTACACATCATATTTTAAGAGTAATAATTTAACTCAAACCAAATTCTTAAAATGTGGGATGGCTTCCCTTCCTGCCCGTGTATTTTAATTGTTCAAATATTACATGATAAACTACGTTAATGTTGTACTGGTTTTAAGTAGGTCTGACCGATTGGCAATCAATGTTAACTATTTTTGAACGTATGATGCATTTATTCCAAATCGTAGTTTAATCTCTTCGCTACGTAGTTTAGAAAATATACCAATTTTCTATAATATCGGTAGTAAAAACATACCGATTTGGCTACGATTTAAAGGTCGTCTTTTTATTATAATGGGGTCAAAATAACTTCTTTCAAAAGTTTACTTTAAAATATTGTTAGCCGCATGTAGCTTAGCAACTATCAAAATATCTCACAACAACGCCGGTGTGTTGTCGGGTGAACAACGCTACATTTTCCTACCTTTTTGTCAGTTGGTTTTTAAATAAACTCGTATTTTTCTTCTTCTTATTATTCTTATAATTACAATGTTGTTATTTCTCTTATTTTGGTTGCTTTACATTTAGGCTAGTGCTGGCTACAAGGTAGTTCCTGTTTTGGTCAGCGTCAACTGATGACGCAAACGCGCAGCTAAACCTTTCGGTTCCGGTTTAAATTTGTTACATGACGCTATAGCGTGCAGCGACCAGGGGCAACATGGCGGCCCCGTGGTGGAGGCACTGCCGGCGCTGGAGCACATACTGTCTCAATCCGCTTTTAGTGGAGACTGGGTGGTGTTTTAACACCAGGTCCGTGTCCTCTGTGAGTCGGACTTCCTGGAGCGTATGGTCGCGGAATGAGGTGAGTTTTGCGGCTGTGTGGCTGTTAGGACATCGGGGATAGAAGCTGTCAGAGCCGGGAAGGTCATTCATTACATACCATCACTGTTACTGCAGTAACAATAACATAAAGATATGTTTTTAGTCAGTCTGTATTTATAATTATAATTTCGCCAGAGGAAATAAGAGTCGTTTGTGTTTTGCAAGAGATTCTTGTGTTTCGTAATTAATACCGGATATGAATGAAGACAGTGACTTGTTGCAGGGGTGTGGACTGACTTAAACCTACTGCCGCTGATAAAGGTCAGAGATTGAACATGGTTTACATCCAATTAGGGACGACTTGACATTATAAAAGGCAAAAAAGACTACACTACACAGAAATCAATTATTATACATAGGGACCACAGTACTTGTGGGGGGGAAAAAAAAGAAAAATTACCTAAATATCTCTGTACTTGTGGGAAAAAAAAAAAGAAAAATTATCTAAATATCTACACCTATAAACTTCTACATAGCCATACATTCAGATATATTGAAAATATAGAATATAAAATGTACAATGAATGCATTATTATAAAATCCAGAAATTATACTTTGAATATTAAAATTACATTAATGTTTGCCTGTTTATACTGTTCTAAATTTGTCTAATATTTATTATATTTTATATATATATATTTTTTTTTTAGGTACAGCCCCCATCCTCTACACAACCAAACTTGAAACCTTTAATATGTGGGAACAGGTGAGTCTTCTATTTTTTATTATTATTATTATTATTATTATTATTTCTACTTGCTCAACCTGGTGTAACATCTTTCACTGTTTCTTTTCAGACTAAAGTCAAGGCTGCCATTTTCAGCTCTACAGTCCTGCTGCTGTAGAACGATACACAGTGACACCAAGCCCAAAGACCCCTTCTCATTGGCCCAGAAAGACCTGACCACCTTATATGATGACATCAAAAAGGTCCATCCTTAAGGAAAAATCTTTTATCTATTCATCTTCTGTTTTATTTTGCACACTAGTCGTAAATGTCACGTGTTGTTAGGCAGATGTTTATATCCTGTAATGACTAAAGTCAAACTCTGAACTTCTCTTCCTTCACTTCACAGGAGCTGTTTGTCTCCAAACATGAGCTGAAGCACTTGTGCGACTACTACTTCGACGGCAAAGGCAAAGCCATCCGACCCATGATTGTAGTTCTGATGGCTCGGGCGCTCAACATCCACAGCAACAGAGCGGGGTAACAAACTCACAAACCTCTGACCTACTGAACACACCTTCTCCAAGCTAACATGAATCATGTCGTTAAACATCTAATTTCATTCCTCTTCCTGTAACCTCGGCATTACTTTTATTGCCCGCAGTGATTTGCTCCCGGGGCAGAAGGCCGTAGCCATGATCTCAGAAATGATTCACACTGCCAGCCTGGTGCACGATGATGTCATAGACGGGTCAGACAAACGCCGAGGGAAGAGGACAATCAATGAAGTGTGGGGTGAAAAAAAGGTAAGTGATAAGTGAAAAAAAATTCTACTTGCTGTTTTACTACAAAATGCTTTTTTTAAGGAAAGAATAAATGTATGATTTTTTTTTTTTTAATTTGTTCCAGGCCATCTTGGTTGGAGATTTCATCCTGTCGACTGCTTCAATGGCGTTGGCTCGAATTGGAAACATCACTGTGGTTAAAGTGTTGTCTCAAGTCATTGAGGACCTGGTTAGAGGTACGGGAACGATACCTCGAAATTGTAGTATATTCGAAATTACGAAACACAAGAATACAAGTATATGTACATAAGGCTCCATATTTGATGGATTAAAAAAAATAATAAAATTATCTTCAACATCTCCTTGTTCCCCAGGTGAATTCATGCAGCTGGGCTCCAAAGAGAACGAGAACGAGCGATTCAAGCACTACCTCGAGAAGACCTTTAAGAAGACGGCGAGTCTTATTGCAAACAGTTGTAAAGCAGTATGTACGTTCTCTTTCTGCATGAATGGCTCAGAGATGGAGGGAACCTTTGGTCTCCTCACTCCCTGGCTCTTGTTGACTGCCTGCTGTCTTCTCTCTGAAGGTGTCTATTCTAGTCAACTCTGATCCTGATGTTCACGAAATCGCCTACCAGTATGGAAAGAACGTAGGCATCGCTTTTCAGGTACGTGTAGATGTGATACTTCACAATCACACATCATCATCATCATAAATGTTAATGAGCAGTGATTATTGTCCTGCAGCTGGTGGATGACGTGTTGGACTTCACCTCAGGAGCCAATCATCTGGGGAAACCTTCAGCTGCAGATCTTAAACTAGGCCTGGCTACAGGACCAGTTCTGTTTGCCTGTCAGCAGGTGGCGTACAATTGTACATATGATGTTAAAAAACAGCTAGAGTTTCCACAACATATATTAACATAATATTTTTCTGTCTCAAGTTTCCCGAGCTTCATGCGATGATCATGAGACGGTTTAGCTCGAATGGAGACGTGGACCGAGCCTGGCAGTACGTACTCCAGGTAAGATCAACTGTACTTAGGTACCAGACAAATACTGCGTTCCTGGACTACAGGTCACATACAGACTGGTGCATTTTAGTTCTGTTCTTTAAGGAAGTATTTTAGTCGTGTAAGTTTCAAGTGGTGCAATTGCAGGTTTACTAGACTGCCGACCTTTTTGGTTCCTGTTTCAGAGCGACGGTGTGCAGCAGACGAGCTACCTGGCGCAGCACTACTGCCGTGAAGCCATCCGACACATCAGCATGCTCCAGCCGTCCCCAGAGAGAGACGCCCTCATCAGGCTCACTGACATGGTGCTCAACAGAGACAAATGAACCTCCTCTGCCGGGGCTTCACTTCAGGCAGCTACCTGTGGGAAAATCACTCGCCCTGTCCTGTCAATGTGTGTGTGTGTCCTGGGAGGCAGGGTGAGAGACAAAGACAATGAGAGAAGCGCTTGGAGATTGGTTAAGAAGGACCCCTGGTGTCAACGGAGTGAATACCTCACCAACAGCAGGTGATCTTTTACAGTTTCCCGACAGAACTAGGAAACTTTAGTACCAGGAACCATTTTTTTCTGACCAAGCATGTGCTTAAATCCTGGTCCCCAGGTTAGAAATGCCAATAGTTCCTGGTACTAAGTTTCTACACTGCTGACCTAGCTGTCAATTTCAAATGCACACCAGGGTGAGTTTTTAAGATTGTACATGTGAAAACACTGCATCCCACAGTGGAGAATACAGAAAGGATCTTAAAAGTACCAGATGCATCCAGAGTACTGTACCAGTGGCAGCCTCACACCGACACAGACTTCAGTCCTGGTCCGTGTAGCTGCTGCAAAACCTGTAAAATTCCAAATCATATGCATAGTTGTCAACGGTGTGTTTGTGCTGGAGCCGTGTGTCATCCAGATCCATCCAAACTTGGGAAGGCCGTCCAGTTTGTGAACTTTTAGGTCTGAAAAACAAAGTGCCCTGTAACAACTATGGCCTTAACATCTGCCGACAACTGTGTGCTCAATAAACCCACAGTTTTTTTATTTAAACCAAGAAAAAAAAAACGTGTTGTTTTTTTTGGGGGGATTTTTTTTTTAGTATTTAAACCAAGAAAAAAATGTGTTGTTTTTTTGGGGGGATTTTTTTTAGGTTTAAGTTCCATAAAGACAGTTTGTTTTTCCAGCTTACCACCTGCGGTAACTCAAGTGTCCTCTCCTCTTTTTTCCTAGGGACAGTGAAGGAAACTCATTAGAGTGAACACGCATGGAGGTTGTACATAGAATTGTTTATTATAAAAGACTGTACATTAATTTCTCAATCAACAATTTATCTGTACAAATGAAGGGCAGACATAGATTGTAATATTTCTATATATGAACGTCAACCTTTTTTTTTTAACGTTTAATTGGAAAAAACTAAAGCAAAAGGGCAAAACGTGTTGAAGTCGTTCGCTGCAGAACCCTGAACTGTGACCACAGCAGGTAAACCTTCAAAAGAAAAGATTCTGTTAGACGAGTTGATGAGTAAATGTGAACAGATGCACAATGTGACGGAGACCTGAGTGGACGTTATCGACTGGCTGATTTGACCGGAGTTCAATATGTACACCTGAAGATTTTTTTTTAGTTCACATCAATCAGCATGGTCCTCAAGCTCAGAGCAGAACGCTGTTGGTTTGAAAAGACTGAGGAGGTATTAGAGTTGTGTACTGGTCAAATGTGTTACGTCTGAATTGTCTCATGGCAGTGTTAGGTACGACAAGATCCTTCCAGACTCTCACTGCACACACACCATGTTGTCACTGAAGCTGGTCAGTGATTAGACCTCATCTGGAAAAGTCAAAGGTCAGGAAAATGAGTTCTCTTGATTTACAGACAGGTCTAATTTTTTTACCACTTCAGCTTTGTTTTTTGGGGATCTTGAATCAACACTATGCAACTTTTCATGTCTAAAAATAGTAAACACTCATACTGTTCTGATAAAAGAAGCTAGGCTCTGCAGCTAACTCTGTAGCTTTAAACAGACTTTCAGGATTTTTCCATGTTAGTAAAAACATACACTTTAACAGTTTGTCCTTTTTGTCATAAACTGCAGAGGATGAACTCAGCTGCAGTGTCTGAATTAAGTCACTATTAAAAATGAAAATTATGACAGATGTCATGCTAACAACTTTAACAAGCTCTAGGTTCTTTGCTGCCATCTAGTGGCTGCCTCTCGTAACGACATGCTACTGTAAAAAGATGACGTCGAGTTATGCACATTTGTCAAAAAAAACTTTTTTCAATCACTTCATGAAAAGTTTCATAGTGTAGCTCAGCCTTTAAATCCAAATCAGCATGTAAAAATCCACCCCAATGGGAAAGAAAAAAATAAAATAAAAAAGTTCAGTGGCTACAACAGTGGAATAAAATAAAATAAGGTGAATACACTTACAAAATAATGAAAACATAATGGTAATAAACTTAAATTACATTATATCATTAAAAATTTTGCATGCTCTAACGCCAAGACTGATCTTCAGGGAGTTTATCGTTGTCTTAAAGTTGGAAAGCATTTACAGAATAAAAAAACGTCATTACTGTCAGGCTTCGAGGTAACGTTACAGAAACCCGATTGGCTGCACTACTAGTGTTACGTACAGCGGACAGGACAGTTAACGTCTTGTTTGCTTATAGAGTCCTCTCTCTTTTTTTTCCAATACACAATCCATAAATGCCCCCCACCCGCTCATATAACACCAAAATAATCTAAGTAGATATTACTTTGAATTTTATCTGCAATAAATTGAGGGCGGGTTCTGTCATATCAAAAGTTTCACAAAGTTTTGCCTAAGCCTCCTCTCAGGACTCCTGCTGCTGCAGTGTCTGTGTCTGTGGATTAGGATAAGACTGAATAAATAGACTTTACGGTTGGAGGTGGCGGCCGCCGCCCTTCAGTCGGCGTAGTGCATGATGCTCTCCACGTAGTTCCCGGGGAAGAGCCCGGTGACGCCATTGCAGACGCCCTCGAACCAACCGTCGTCATTCTTCTTGACGACGTAAATGATGGCTCCCTCCATGAAGCTCAACTCGTCTTCTTTGTCCTTGGCATAGTCATAAATGGCCACCACTGGGAGCAAAAAAAGGGAGGGGTTATAAAGTGAGAAATTGGGTTTGTAGGTCAGGATAGTGGGTGGAGAGCATTTTACTGCAAAGCTGGCCTTAATTCGGCTTTGTTTTCTTACTTATTTCCTTCTCCTTATGCAGGTAATCTGCTTCACTTTAACCGATTTGCCTCATCTACTCTTAAACCTACATTTTCCCATCATTATTGCCTGAATCTCAGCATTTATATCCCTATAGACAACGCTACAAATATGTCGTGCTATTTTCCCAAAAAGTTGGTCTTGTTACTCCAACATTTGAAGTAAATGTTCACATATCTGTCATTATTTCCCGCTCCTGTCTTCATACAGCCACTACTGGATACACATACGCTATAATTGCTCCTGTCTTCATACAGCCTTGTGGTTGTACTACTGGATACACATACGCTATAATTGGTTCTGTGGAGATGCTCCCGCCCTTTAGACAATAAACATAGCGCTGATTCGTTCCTACTCTCAAACTTTTCCTTAAAATTAATGACGAAATTAGCGCTGATTGGATTTCGTCCCTGTGCCTGTCCATCGGCATTAAAACTTAATTTCTACGACCGTTTTAATTCTGGGTTTGCTTATGACGTTTTATAAAAAGTAATAGTGCCAAAATACCACCACTTTAATACGAGTTTAAATGTGAAATGGATCGATATAAATATTATTTATACCCATAGAGGGTGACACCACTCATGGATTATTTATCATTATAAAATATAAAACCCTGCTTAAAAACAAACACTGAAGAAAAACCTGTCATGAAATGTCTTAAGTAACCACACAAAGGAAGTGTTTTTTTTTCTCAAACCTTTCTCGATGTAGTTGTTGGGGGCCCACTGTGGGTCACCGTCGGCGTATGGGTCACTGTACTGAACAACCGCAGCATCCTCCTCCTCATAGTCCACAGGGGGAGGCGGCGGTGGAGGAGGAGAGTCATCGAACATGGGCAGGTCGTCCGGTGGAGGAGGAGGAGGTGGAGTGGGAGTATCTGCAACTGACGAAACGGTGACAAGAAGTGAGATTTTCGGGTTTTGTGTTGGGCTGTACCACAGGGCGGCTGAGTCATGCAGGATTATTAACAAAGACATGCAATGATGCATCGGTAATTAGTAGTGAGTTTATTCATCAAACAGACTCAACAGTGTTAGCAGCTCAAATGGAAGGACGCTGTGAGTGAGTCATTGTGGTTCTGTATAAGATTTACGGTCACAGCGACGATGTCACACGCTGTGTCGTAACAGCGAGCGTGATGTAAATGACATCATCAACGTTAACAGGATTAAAACACTTTTTTGCATTTTCAAAATGTCTTCTACTGACATTTTAAGTCTCTACTATTACACTTGTCCCCGCAGATGTTATCTATAACACCAGCAGATGGCAGCAGAGGCTCCTGTCTTCACCTGTTCAAAGCAGCTTCGACCTTTGACCAGGCTTAATATTCGGTTTTACCTCAGCTCAACTGCAGCTCCTGCCATTTTCTGCTTTATTTATAGCTAACATTTAAGCATATTCTAAAATAAAATCATTTTGAATCGACATCACTCCTGGATCCTTTCTCATTTTCAATCATTCACACTGAAACCATCTATTGTGATTAAATGGTTAACTGACCTATTCTACAGGCAGCTTAAAGGTGTCAGGTTTTTTAGTCATGATTACACGGCCGATGAGGGAAATTCAGTGAGAAAATGATTTTGTAAAAGGTCAGTCGTGATGGGTTTAACACAGAAACACGCAAGGAAGAGGAAGGGAGGAGATCGAGCACAATGCATGCTGGGAGGAAAAACAAGGACGAGTACAGAACAGGTCTTTGCCTGATCACTTACTGCTCTCCTGCATCCTGGCCACAAAGCCAGTCAGAGGTATCTGTGGAGTCAGCTGGGGCATGGGAGGAGGAGGGGGAGCAATAGACACTGAAAGCCAGCAGAAAAGAAGACAAGAATGGAGAGAGAGAGAGAAGAAGAAAAACACATGAATAAATAAATAAGGAGTCATTTTCAGTAAGTGTAGAGAAGACTTGTGGCAAGAAGACCTATAAACCGAAGAAAACGCCACGATCTGAAGCAAATAAAAGGATGTAAAGAAAACGCTGTCTGACAATTAAAGGCCGACCATCAAACTACACGTCGGTCAATTGACTAGAAACGGAATTGACTAGAAAGATCTGAATAGAATCTCAATGTCAATTTCTTTCCCCTATTGAAAATTCTGAAATCAAAGAGAATAATCGATAGTTTAATTGATTAGAAAAATAATTTTTAAGTGCAGCTCTAAACACGACGTGCATTAAGGGGCTCTGCCTTGTTGGCCGACATTGACGGTTTGTGGTGCATCAGCTGTAGAACTGAGGAATCATGCATTAAAACCAATCGACATTCCACAGTTCAGGATAAAAAGGGCCTGGACTTGCACTTTAGAAATTAAATAGAGAAGTCAATATTTCTCCCCAGGATTAGAGTTCGACCTTCAGACAGCAGTGACTCACTTTTAAATGTCAGTTATTTGTCTGTGGCTGAAGAGGTTGGCGTTCTTTCATTTGTGACACACAATAAGGGCCTTACTTGAGTTCTGGCCGTAGCCAGGAGTGCCTCCATTAATGTGAGGCTGCTGCTGCTGCTGCTGCTGCAGGTGTTGCCGCCGTTTTTTGTGGTTGC